CGTGCAGCATAGATCATAACATCCAAGGTCTGCTTATGTACATGTTTTTCAATATGAAGCGGTCAATATTTAAGGAAGAGGTTTTCAGGGTCCAGTGGGATTTCAAGGCCTATAATTTTGTGTACCATTTGTTTTATTTCTTCCCAAAATTGTGCTATTTTATCACATTCCCACCAAGAGTGGGCAAACGTGCCTATCTTGTCACAGTTTTTCCAACATTTAGGTGAGATTGTAGCATGCATATGGGAGAGTCGTTGAGGGGTCAAGTACCACCTCGTTAGTATCTTAAAATCTTGTAACTCTAATGGAATAGAATTTGGATAAGGATTTTTGGTCTCCCACAGTTCCTTCCAGAAGTTTTGATCAAGTTCTTTCTTACAGTCTTTTTGCCACCAACTTTGATAAGGTAGCATCTTTGGGGCATTGTTTGTGTTCAGTAAGTGGTAAGTAGCTGAGATCAATCCCTTGTCTGAGTGTTCAAACAAATGGAATAAAAGTTCTAAATCAGTTCGTGGTTGTCTCATTATCTCTTTCACGTTTTTTTGCTCAGTGGCATGCTTAAGTTGTAAGTATAGGTACCAGGGTACCACACTTCTCAGCTTATGGTCTATGGCTGCTTTAGGTAATATACCTTTTTTGGAGGTTATATCACCATACCTAGTCATTCTCGCTACTTTCCATTTGTCCAGGTGTGCAGGAGATAATGCATTTCTAAACCAGGACTGGGAAATAAAAGGTAAATACCGAGATATCGGTGGGAGTAAAGATTCGTGTATTTTCTTCCATAATGCTAACACTGGTTTCATGTTCTTTTATTTTTGTCTGAATGCTACGCTGTGTGGTCCCGGTGTAAACTTGTCCACAACTTCATGGTAGGCGGTATACTCCTGCAGAAGTGAGGGAGTCTCTTCTGTCTTTTGTCGACCATAGCATCTATTGTATCTTTCTGGTGGGTCTGAATATTGTTTGTAGGTTGTGTTTTTTCATAAGTTGTCCCATCTGATCAGTGATTCCTTTGATATATGGCAAAAACACTTTTCCTGTGGGAGACTGTTTTTCTTCAGTTGTTTGTTTTACCTTTGGTTTAATCGCTCTTCTGATTTCATTCTTGGAGTAGCCATTTGCTTAAAGTGCGTGATTTAGATGATTTAGTTCATCACCGTGGTTCACATATCCGTACTGCATGGTCTACTAATGTTTTGATTATGCCTCTTTTTTGCCGAGGGTGGTGATTGGAGTTTTTGTGTAAATAACAGTCCGTGTGAGTTGGTTTTCTGTAGACCTTGTGACCTAATTGAAGGTTAGTTTTGTGGATGACCATGATATCTAGAAATGGGAGTTTACCTTTGATTTCTTTTTCTATGGTGAATTGTATGTTGGGGTGGATGTTGTTGAGGTGGTCTAAAAACTACATCAATTCTACCTCTCCATGGCTCCAAATGATAAAGGCATCATCTATGTACCAGAACCAGACTGTTGGTTTGTGGGGTGCAGATTTTAAAGCTGTTTTTCCAAAATGTTCTATGTAGAAGTTTGCTATAACTGGGCTGAGAGGACTTCCCATGGCAAACCCATCCATCTGTTCATAGAATTCGTTATCCCATTGGAAGTAACTAGTTGTCAAACAATGGTGGAATAAGGCTGTTATGTCATCTGGAAAAATCTGATTAACAAGCACGAGTGTGTCTTTTACCGGAAACCTTGGTAAAAAGAGATACCACATCAAAACTGACAAGTATGTCCTGTGGGTTAAGTTTCAGAGAACTGATTTTGTTGATGAAATGTGTTGAATCTTTGATGTATGTTGTGGTTTTTCCGATGCGGTTCTGTAGAAGATTGGCCAAGTATTTAGCTAATTCATACTTCGGGGAGTAGATATAAATTACCTGCCTACCATTTTTCTTTTCACCTTAACACAGAGAGTACTCTTTCTGTGTTATACCTCTGAGGATACAAATCACAGCTACTGGTGAAACGTCAGGTTCTGCAATGCAAAGACCACAGCCACACAACCCAAAAAATCTACAGCAACTAATCTCACCATACATAACAAAAATTAATATTACTTCCTTAATTTTCAACATGATTGTTTTACAAATTCTACTTTACTTTAATGAGTGCCATACACCCTCTTAAAATGGTGGCATTCACTCAATACAAAAATGTGTGACAATAAAAATAATGAATGGAAATAAATGTACATTTATTTTTAAAATGTATAATTCACCTTTTTACTTCAAAAAGTGGACTAAAAGCTGAAACACAACAAGGAATCATATAACCACCTGAAACAGTAAATTCTGCACTTAAAGCTTAGTACATACCAACATCATCATTAAAATCTATATAACCAAATGGCAGCATATAGACCAAATAAGGCTTCATAAAAACCCATAGTTTCAAATACATTCTCGGGAGGGGGGTGTTACAGAGAAGGAGTTGGGAAAACTAAGATGGACCTAATCTGCATAATCTGCATAAACAGTGATGGAATTCAAAACTATGCTTTCACTGTAGATTCCATCTTAACAAAAAAAATGAGCTCATATAAGAGAGGACCTTGTTTAAGAAGCAGAAGATCCCACCCATAACAGATTGGACAGGTTACTCTAAAGGCATCTTGAAAAATGCCAATAAGCAGCATTTTGCACCAGCTGCCACTTCTGAACACTTTTAAAGGTGACTCGTCCACAAAGCACATTACCAGGAGGTTACCATGGCAAGTTTGCTGTCACCCTAGAGAGGGGAGAGCTGGCAAATTAGATCTAACTGATAAAAAGCATTCCAGGGCACAGCTGCCAACGGAGTAAGGAAAGACCCAAACGGACAACTGAACTGCATTCAAGGAGATTGTGATCCTATGCATAACTCACATCCCCCAAATAACAAAGGCTAACAACCATTATTTGTGCTGCATGTGCAACTGCAGAGACCCAAACTTTAAAAAAAAAACAGCAAGCAAACCAAGCAGACAGACCAATGCAACAGGTCATTCAAATAAATGGAAGTTGTAGACCTCTGACGTGACTTTTTTCTGATCTAAGCCCATTGCCTGTGAAAAGTATTATATTCAACACTTTCCTTGTAGGGTTACCTAATTAAATATCACTTCTTGTTCCTTTTATGAATTTCCACATAAAGTGCCTTTTTCAGGGGCGAGAAGAATGAAAAAGATGTGGGAAGAAAATAAGAAAATAATGATCAGATCAGTGGAGCTAAGTGGTTTGGATTTGGTTCTAATCATTAAGATGATGAACATCCCAAAGGCAGACTTTTCTTCACCTCCATGGCAAGAGAAAACCATTATTAACTGGTAGGACATTTTTCAGAGATTGCATTTACGAATGAAAATACCATGTTGCTTGTCAATTTACAGGCTTCTCTCTGGATGTCAAACAACTTATGGTATGCAACCATAATGCCACTGAACTGTGTGCTACAGTGTGATTTCATGAAAACGAGCCTGCAAAAAATATGAGCAATAAAATAAAGCTAACCTCCACATTCCAGAAAAACTGTACATGGTGCTCACGCAGCGAGGCAAGGCAGGAGGCTTGAGTCCATCCATTTGAATGACGAGGGCAGGAACACCAAAGAGAACAAGGTATTTCACATAAAAAAATAGGACCTGAGCCAGTGCTAGGCCATCTGAAAGAATGTACAAAAAAAAAATTCACTTCAGTATATTTTCATATTTATACTGCTTCTGGGCCCCCCTCAAGACCACCATAATATAAATGTAAGTAAATACAATTATCTTTTTCTGATGGCACCAGTTACAACAGGTATGCAGACCAATTGGGCAATCCGCCTAAATACTAATATCTAAGTTTTTAGTCCACTCAATCACAGCTGGGGAGAGTTCAAAGAGCACCCTGGAAAGCACGGCGCCCAGATTTCCGTGACAGATGGAAAATAGTTTGGCGGGTTGTACCACAATTGCATTTGGGTCCTGGTATTTTGCCCCATTTAAACAAGTAGCCTAGATGCATAGGTTATCCTCAGAGTAGTGCTCAGGTCATTGAATTGGGCTCATCCAAGAGCACAGTTTGAAGCATGATACAACACATATGCCATGAAAGCTAAGCAGATCTTGATCTAGCCAAATGCCTGGATGGGAGACTGCCTCAGAGCTCTACATATGATGACTGAGATTCTCCTTAAGGCAGGATGCAAGTGTAAGGACAAATATACCTGACCTCCTTGTGTTTTTAACCTACAAAGAAGAGTGGAAACAATGGCAATCCATGGATAAAGTAGGAATAGTAGCCTCAGTGGTAAATAATTAAACATGTCAGGAATGTGATCTTATCATGTCTTCAGTGTTTCTTAAACACCTTCACATTAAGCTCATATTACCAGGAACATTCATTTTATTTTTGTTTATTCTTTCCTCCTTTCCCCTCAAAAATTAAGGTATGAAATTATTAAAAATATGCCAGGAATTCCACTTTTTTAAAAAACATTTTTATTCCTTTTCTAAACTACACACCTATAGGGTTTGGTGATGGGAACAAACTAAAACTACGAGTAGCAAGAGATCATTAATACAATTGTTTAAAGTAAGGATAATTCCCACTTCCGATTTTGGCGAATCGATGGCGGACATGTCTCTCGGGTGCTCCCGAGGACATGATCTGTAAACCAGAAAACTGAGAGGAGGTGCAATTGTACGCGCCCCCCGGGGGCCCTTGCAATGGGCTCCTAGTCATGGGGCGCTGAGGGTTAACCAATATAATCCTCTAATAACATAGTCTTTTACTGATCTTTCAGAGTGAAAAAGTATATAATAAAAGATGGGTTAAGGTATATGATTGGATAGAAACATTGAACTTATGAGACTCTACTATGTATGTTATTATGATTTTGGAATGTTTATATTGTAAAACCAAATAAAAATATTTATTAAAAAAAAAAAGAGAAGTCAATCATTCTAACAATCATATTTTTTTAAAAAAAGTGGGATTATATGGATCACAATAAAAAACAGAACATTAACATTTCATTGCTAGGTTATTAATAGAATCTTGCTAATTTCTATAGGTTCAATTTCAACTAGGCTCTTTAATGGGAACAGCATGTAGATAGTAATACAACAGATGAGAAGATTAAAAGTTTCTATTTGCACCTCATAATAGTCATTACCAATATGTAAATCCAGATCCAAAATATCTTTATTGAGTTACAGCTGTAGATTACATGTTTCTTATCGTGATCAAGTTATCTATCTATACCTTCTTTACTATTTTATAATTAAATGTTTCATTTATGTAAATGTCTTTCTGTTATGTTATTTTTATTATCAGCTACAACTCAAATTAAACCATTAGACATGTAACAACAGTCCTTGTGCCACTCTAATTATAATATTTATACTTTCCTCTCTTTTATTTTATTTTTCATGATGATCATAAACCTATGTCTTTTCTTTTTGTATGTACTGAAGGTTATCTTTATTTCTTCCTTTGTATGTTCCATACTTCCACTGGATAAGGTTTCCTGTCTTATACTGTTATCCATGTTCTTTTGATTTGCAAAAACCAGGCCATATGACAACTCATCTTGTATTCTCTCTTCTGGCATTTCATGAGCTGAAAAAGTTATTACTCTTCCCGTAATTTTCTTACATTGACTTGTGTTGCTTTTTATGGGGTAGCTGAGATCTTTGTCTGAAAGCAGAGTTTCATGGAATAGTTCACCTTGGTTAGAATCCTGCTCTTCCTTCTCATTTGGAATTTTCTGTTTTACGATCAGTTCCTTATTATACATTAGTTGCTGTAGATTTTCCGGGATGTGTGGCCGTGGTCTTGGCATTGTAGAACTTGACATTTCACCAGTAACTGTGACTGGCATCCTATTATACAGTCTATGAAAAGTATTCTGGATCTCTCTAAAAATTGTTGCAGGTTAAATTGCATGTTTTGTATATCATCTGGGTCTTCTAACACCTCTGCTTCTTTGTAATTATTTTGTAACTCCATTGTAATCTTAAATTGCAGTTCCAGTCTGTTGCTCAAGGTCAGTTCTCTCTTGTTTACTTTCCCACAGAGTCACACAGAGCTGGTCACTAATTCAAAACACCAGACTCAGTAGCTATATTAAAATCCAAGAATCTTTCCACATAGACCAATCAATATGGAGTCTCTTTAATATTTTTCAGAAGCAATCACTCTTAGGTACATTTTCAATGTTAAAACAGAGTCTTAAGAGCAGTCATACCTTCAAAAGTAGCCAGAATCCATTTTAACCAAGACGTTCTGTTAAAGATACACAGTCCCTTTTATTTTTCAATCCCATGAAGTAAGAGGAAAAAGCAATGCATTGTAGATTCAAAAGTATCAATTCCAGATAGTGATCACAGTTAAGTCTATTGAAATGTTCAAATAGCAGTAGTTGAGTCTTTTTTGCCCCGCTGAATATTTCAAGGATTTTAACTTCCCACTCTCTTGGCAGCCGCTCACAAGGGGGAAGGAGGAGGGGGGAAACTTCACATCTCATTCCCTTTCTTTTTGGAAAATTTAAGGGGGCGAGATCCAAATATCTTTGGAGATAAGTTGTTGCAGTTACAGGTACTCACATCAGTTCTTATCTTCACCAATGTTAAGGTGAGGTTCAAGCTCTCGTAATCAGGTGTTCACAGCTTATCACAGACAATCATGACTCTATGACTGTGCTGCTCTGCGCCATGCTTTGGGACAACCTCGATCTTCCAGCCACTTGCTGGTGCTCACAGGGAGATCAGGGCAAGTCCCCTGCAACCAGCGCACCCCCCTAAAGGCACGGAATGTTGGCGATTCTCGGGAGCTCATCCGAGTCTCAACCGCCTCACTGCACTGCATCCCGCAGATGAAACTTTTAAGTTATCATAACGTTATTATTATTTATCTCTTTCCTGACTGGCTGCTCCAAACTTTGCAGTTCAGTGCTGTTTTAGAGTGTTGTCTCACTTAATTTGATGGGGTTTATTCCCAGGTAACATTATTATTCCATTCACGGTAAAGGAAAGCAAAGTGATCTGTTTTGTTATCAGGCTCATGGATGGCAAATGGATTTTTTTGTCTGGGGGACCATTCTGGTTCTTGGCAGCCCTGCTGATTCCTCTGTCAATGACTGACAACCACTTTGCCCCCATCTTAGAAACCTGGACCTGCAATAATCCTGCCAGGACAGACCAGACCTCCACCATACTACTGTAAGTAGTTTCATTATGATACAGGGATGGCCAATTTGTCTGACATAAAACAGTAACCTTGATCCAAACCTGCCCTTGCTTAAGCAGGAGACACTTAAACTTGCAAGGGGAGATCAGTTTTTACTGATTTTCTCTTCCCAACTCACGCCCTCCCACATATCCCATGCCATTGCCGAGTGTCTGTCAACCCTCAGCAGTGACATTTTAAGCACAGAGGGAGGAGGAAAGCAGAAAATTTATCTTCCATATGTGACGCATCATTCAGTTCCTTGGATTTAAGTCAACTTCCCCATTTAAATAGATTCAGGTGGGTAGCTGTGTTGGTCTGAAGCAGCAGAACAAAGTTTGAGTCCCGTGCAAGTTTGAGTCGAGTGCAAGCGCACTTCGTCTGAAGAAGTGTACCTTGAATAAACTTTGAATAAAACTTTGTTGATCTTAAGGTGCCACTGAACTCAGACTATGTTCTTTTCCCATTTAAAGTTATTATTTAAACAGTCAAATGTGCACTTGAAACTTTTACTATAAAAATCACAATAGGCAATTAAAAAAAAAAACCAAGTAGGCTTTGTACACACAATTCGTATAGAAGACATCAGGCATGTCTCATTTCTAGAGTCTCATCCTGGACCTCCAGGTTTGGATTGGTATAATAAGCAAATATTGATTTTCAGCTCAGCACAAATCAGGACTTATTGATCTTAGAGATAAATATTTATCCCCAAAGGACTATAAATCTTCATGTGTCCTAAAGTCAATACATGGTATGTTCAGTATTATTACAGACATTGCTTTGCTTGTCCAACCAAATTTCTCTCGGCCTTTTATACTAGGTGCTCCAAGAGTTCCACATAACCCCAGAACAAGAAGCAGAAAGGGCAAAAACCTGAGAATGAAACATATTACCACCTTTGAAGGCAATGCCATCTCAACATTTGTTTTTATTATTTTGACTTATTTTGTTAAGCGGCCGTTGAACAGAAAGATTGTGATCTAATTTCTGGAAATATATTTAGCTGTAGTGTCTCTCTTCAGTGTACTGCACATAAACAAGAGTGAGGACTGGCTGATACCCAAAGGTGAGTGTAAATTCTGCACATGGAAGGACACAGAAGTAAGCCCTGAGCACTCATGCATCACAACCACACACAGAATGTTTAGTGTGATCAGGCCTTCTGCACGTCCATACTCATTCAGGTACCTGTAGGTTACAAAAAGGAATAAACAGATTCCATGGGCAGAGCATATTTAAATAAAACAGACATGCAGAGTTTCAACAAGCGGCCGGGGGGGGGGGTCTAAATCAGCTTCCTGGCCAAACTAAATATTTTTATTAAACCATTAATCTGAATTATTTCACAATAATCTGTAAAACACTTAAATCAGTTTTAAAGTAGTGAGATTAGAAATTCATTTAGGTTTTTAAGATTCAACTGTTTTATGTATGTACTGAAATCTG